TTATTACTGCTGCTGTCCCACATTTCCGTTTAAATACGGTATGTTAAAAATATTTATTTGAAAATTGTTTGTAAACACTGTCACATAATAAAACTATTTTGTTTATGCCTTAATTTTTCCAAAATTGCAGCACACTTACGCTGTTTTATAAAACGACAATTTTTATTTTATATTTACAGTTTGTTTTAATGAAATATTCTCAATTTATTTTATGGTTATTTTTAAATTAAACGTATTGGAAGAAGACGTCAGATTTTAATTATGGAAAATTTGCGACATGCCTATATTTCCAAATGAGATTTTTTTTTAATTTAATGATAGAAGGACAAATATTTACGGATTTTCTAGTTGACAATCATTGGCTTACTTCAATATTTGAAATCTACTTGTAAAATACCTCTAAATAAAACAATAAAACTATGATTATAGATAACTTGATTGTTTTTAACACAAAATATCATAAAATTAGAGGTAAACACAAGAGTACAGTTAGCCGACGATGTAGGCCGTTTTCTAGAGATGCTATAGATAGAATGAATTCATAGACCATAAAAGATGGGACACTCAATAGTGTAAAATTTGTATTTGTATAAGATCAAAAAAAATGATATAAAAATAGAAAGAAAATATATTTCTTATGCATGCTCTCGCGCTCGCACACACGGCCGAACAATTTTTGTGTTTAGGGGATTTTTGGTCATTACAATTTGTCTGACTTATTAAATATAATTTTGTAATAGTTATCTTAATAACATATTTAAAAATCAGACATTTAAAAATAAGTAAAGTTAATTTATTTTTTGTGGAGCTTTAAAGCGTCTGACAAAAGTTTTGGTCCATGAAAAGTGTCTGACACTTGCGATAGTACTTGAGAATAATATTCTATAAAATATATCTAAAAATCAGCCATACAAATTTAAGTTAGGTAACTCTTATTTTTAGTTACCTTTCACACCTGGTACCTGCCTAGGTGTCACAGGGCAAGCTTCACAAACACGCAGGTATTCAAAGCACATGAGACGCAACTGACAAGTTAAGGTTTCATCTTTGAGAAAATAAGTTATGTCTTATCGTTCTGGGATCTCTCTATTAGAGAAAGGACCTGGTTTATAAAAATATAAGCGCAGGACCTTTTTTAAGATCACCACAAAGAAAGGAGCTTATTTTATGAAAATACCTGTTTTTTTTAAACTGATCCCCTGTCGTCTCCGTTGTCCCACTTTTTTTTTGTCTGAAATGTGTAAATTTGTCCTTGCAGAGGGGTTTAGTAAATATATCTGCTAAATTACCTTCGGAAGGGACATAAATAATCTCTATGATATTTTTTTGAACCAGATCTTTTATAAAATGTTCTTTTATAGAAATCTTATTGGTTCTTTTTGAATTTTAAAAGGTTTGTACCATGGATATGGCCCCTTGGTTATCTTCGAGTAAGACAACAGAATCACTGGGTTTATAAAAATCTTCTAGAATTCCCTTTAAGTATACAAGGTCTAGGGCTAAGGAGGCCGCAGATACATGTTCAGCTTCAGTTGTAGATAGCGCAACACAATTCTGTTTCTTGGATCCCCAAGTGACAGCATTACCGCTGAATGATACAACAGAACCAGATACACTTTTTCTATCTTTGCTGTCTCCGCCCCAGTCTGCATCAGAAACAGTTTTTAATTTCCAAATGCCTCTTTCTTTCTTAATGTAAACAAGACTCAATGCTTTGGTGTTATGTAGATATCTAAGAATTCTTTTAGCGGGTGTCCATGATTTTTTTGTTGGCTTATCCAACACTTTGCTAAGATAAGACGTGGCATATACGATATCTGGTCTACTAGTCGTAGCTAGTTACATCAACATCTCTATATGGAACATCCTCATCGATTTCTTGCTCATTATCATTGCAAAAACCAACTTCTATCGGTGTTAAAGCTTTGAAATCCGACATCCCAAATTTTTCCAAAACTTTGTTTATAAAGCGTGTTTCCTGCTCTTGTAATTTTAATTCCTAAAAAGTTTTTTACTTCGCCCATGTATCTAGCTGAAAATTTCGTTTTTAAAGCGGCAATAAATATATCACTCTTTCCAATTATTACGAAAACGACTACCCAAACACTTTCATTATAATAAAGGCAAACATTGTGCAAATATCTTTTTAATCTTTGATGCTGTACAAATTGATCAAAGGCATCGTTCCAGCATTTTGGTGCTTCCTTGAATCCATACAAAGACCTTTTTAATTTGAGTACCTTTTTGTTGTTGATACTTGGTGATAACATACCTTTAGGATATTTAATATATACCTCGGAATTTAAATAGCCATTAACAAACGCTGTTGGAATATCAAATTGACGAATAGGCATTATTATCTTGAAGTGCTCTAACCAAAAACATTCGTATTGTAGTAATTCTAGGGTGAATAGAATTTGTTGTATACAGTGAGCATCATAAGTCTTACCCCCCTAACTAACTTGTTAGGAAAATCGCCGAGACGGGTCGATTTTTGATTTCTACAATGGACATTTTTGCATGATTAGTTTATCCTTAATTTCATCCCTTAGTGGAGGAGAGCAACCCTTTCGAAAAATTTAAATAGCATGGGGTGGTGAAAATTTTAAAATTTGCTTCATTACGTGTTGATTTATTAATGTTTAAAAATAACAAAACCTCACAAAATAGGAATACAACTAGACTAACAGTGACCTTCTAATGGCAAAAAGTCTTACTTTACGTCTGAACCAAAACCGAAATCATACAGGGCCGAATTTTAATTCTAAGGATGAGTGCCCTACGTTAATTTCCGTTATTCTGAAACAACAAATAGTCGAGAATTAATGAAGCAAATTTCAAATTTTTTTACACGGTTAAATAGAGAATGAAACCCTCTTTCAAATGAGCTATCATTCACCACCTCATGCGATTTAAATTTTTCGAAAGGGATGCTCCCCTCTAGTAAGGGATGAAATTAAGGGTAAACTATTCATACAAAAATGTACATTGTAGAAATCAAAAATCGACGTGTCTCAGCGATTTTCCTAACAAGACTCCAGTAACTAGTTAGATAGGGAAGGTTTATACGTAAGATGCTCACTGTATATTGTATTCTTGAATTTATTGAAAGCCTTTTGCTACTAGATGTACATTTTTTATACCATTTTATTTAGTCCTGAATACCCATTTTATATCAATTGCCTTTTTTTCTGGAGGCAAGACTGCAGGAACCCACGTTTCGTTTTTATGTAAAGCTTCTAGTTCTTTGTCCACAGCTTTTTGCCGCTCAGGTAATTTTATTGCTTGCTTATATATTTCAGGATCATTTTTATTTGATTACAGACAGTATGCTGAATATAATTGATATTCGTCAAATTTACTTGGTTCTTCTATTGTTCTTTAAGGTATCTCTATTGAGCCACTTGGTGTTTCTCTAATCGTTTCTTTTTCAGTTTTATTTTCACTTTCTTCCATTTCTTCGTCTTGCATTTTATATTGATTGTCTTTATTAGTAATAATTTTATTTTCTAAATAGTTAATATTATTCTCATCAAACCTTACGTCTCTTGATATGAATATTTCATTGGTTTTAGGATCCCAAAGTCTATAGGTTCCTCTTGTACCACCATTCGTGCTTCTTTAGCTCTTGTCACAAGTTTGTCTGTTTTTGGTAGTTTATAAGCATATGCTTTTCCAGAAATTTTTAATTTAAGTTTTGTCTTCCTCGGCATATTTCTACAGATGTATTACCTTCTAATACGTTTGAAGGTGATCTATTTAATTGATAAGCTGCACAACGAATAGCTTCACCCCATAGAAATTTAGGCATACTAGTTTCAGCAAACATAGTTCTTACTTTATCAAATAGAGTTCTATTGAGTCGTTCTGCTACTCCATTCTGTTGGAGAGAATATCCGACCGTGTATTCTAATGTTATACTTTTAGTACAGCAGAAACTTTTGAAATCTTTTATCGTAAATTCTCCACCCTTGTCGGTTCTTATTCTGTTTTCTTTGGCTTCCATTTTAAGAATATAATTTATGAGGTCATATTTTGCTTCAGCTTAAGATTTTAATAAATAGGCTACAGTGAAATGAGAAAAATCATTTATAATTGTTTGATAATATTTTTCATTATTCAACGTGGGAGTACTGATAGGACCCCCTAAATTACTGTGCAGAAACTCTTCTACTCTTGTTGATCTTGGGTGCTCTAAGCTTTTGAAAGGTAGTCTTGTGGATTTGCCTTCCATACAAGGCTTGCACATATTTGGACCAATTGGTAATTTCAAAATTTGTAAGCCTTTTCTATTCAAATGGCCTAATCTTATGTGCTATAGGTGAGCACTAGTTATCATTCTGGTTTCTTATACTAGTCTTCGAAAGTAGCTATGTACAAGTTTCCTACTAGGTTTTTGATTATGGAAACCTCTATTCTTCTTTCTACACTGTGACGCTAAGTGATTTGTTCCACCATATTTATAACATCGTCTGTCTTCTCTGTGGGAATTAAAGAAGGTACACTCTTGGCTTGGATTTGGTTCTCTTAGATGCTGACTATTTTTCATCTTCAATTCTTCATCCAAAAGTTTACTTTTTACAAATTCTAATAAAATAGTGTCATATGTTAATGTTTCTAGTGCTGTGATTACAGTATCTTATGTATCTGGGACTGTGAGCAGCAAGTGGAAAATTTTATCGCTATCATCAAGTTTAGTTCCTATGGCTTTCAGTTTTAGGGGTATATAGTTCTTTTATTGCATTTTTACATTGCTTTTCTTCTAATTTCGCTTCGACTCGGTAAAACTACTAAATCAAACACTAAATCAAACACTAAATCTTAACATGAATACTTATTATCTTAACAAAAAATACCCTTAATTGATTCTATTTGAATTTTTCGCCTTTGCAAAAAATATATTCATATTCGCATATTTTTTGTCACTAAAGAAATGTACAAAACTCAACAAGTAGTTTGCGCACAGACTATAACTTGATGTAATACCATTCCATTAGCACCACATTTAGAGACGGAACATAATCTACGTTTGTTAGTCAGATTTAAATAATAGCCGCATACTGTCAAGTCATTTTTACCTTCAACTGTGTCAGAAGCAAATATTTATACAAGACGATAAACTTTTATTCAACACAATTAGTAATATAAATTTGAAGTGATTGTCGAGTTTTTAATTTTTAATTTTTCTGTTAGTTTGTGATAAAGTGCTGCCAAATGTAAACGATGTTTACGTTTTGGGTGAAAGTTATGGATAGTATAATACTTCAAATACTTTGGATCGGTTATATTATTTACGAAAGTTTGCGTCCGGAAAAAGACATGTAAGTATTTTATATTTTTACAAAAAATTAGATACAAAAATTGACTTGCAAAATGATTCTATTGAAACCGGAGTGCCTAACAAGTATTTCTGATTAGTTCAAAAAAATAACTTCAAAACATTTATTAAAGAATTTAATATTTATGACTCCTAGATCTTAGAATTTTAGAATTCTAACTTATATAGGTACATAAATATATTAAACAAAAGATTAGCCAGCAATTTTAATAATTTCAATTGGAATTTTCGAATAATCGTAACAAAAAATAAATACTGATTTTATCTTTTTATTTTCCTATCTGTATAATTTTTATTCTATACATAATTTGACAAAATGTGTAAATTACGAATTTTGAAGAAAACTCAAAAACGGATAAAGGAAAAAACAGTAAATTTTAAACTTAAGTTTTATTTCGGCCTGAGGTAAAATGATTAGATTTTGGACAAAGTCGGAACATCTGGGGGTACTTTATGGGAGGCCGTTTTTATATTTTATGGAATATATCTGTTATTTTCGTTTGGAGAAGAAAATTATTCAAATAAAAGTTACTTATAATATTATTATCTATAATTTTTATTTTTTACAAAATTTTCCTAAAATGATCCGTATTCGAGAAATTTGACAAAATGTAAAAAAATAATTTTTCATAAAAATTGGGCAAATAAAAGTTGTTTATAATATAATTTACTATAATTTTTATCCTATACATAATTTCTCTAGAATGGACCGTATTCGAGGTATTTGAGAAAATGTGTAAATCTCGAATTTTGAAGAAAACTCAAAAACGGTTAACAGTAAATTTTAAACTTAAGTTTTATTTCGGCCTGAGGTAAAATTATTAGATTTTGGACAAAGTCGGAACATCTGGGGGGTACTTTATGGGAGGCTGTTTTTATATTTTATGGAATATATCTGTTATTTTGTTTGAAGAAGAAAATTCTTCAAATAAAAGTTACTTACAAATATTATCTATAATTTTTGTGTTATACAAAATTTTTTTAAAATGGCCCGTATTCAAGAAAGAACCATGATCTTTTCTTATGCAAACGGGAGTACCGTCAAAATGTCAGAATTTTTTATATGTCCCCATCAAAAGTGTCCATGGGCCCAATCGTATCCTATGGACACCATAAATCACCCTTAAATATATTTGGAAGTTATTTGCTCATTCTGTATAGTCAAAATACATACTTAACTACTTTAATTAAAATATTGTGATAAATGATTCGGCAGATCTTTTTTGGTCAAAGTAGGTATTTCCACCGAACAAAAATAGCTGAAATACCGAAAAAAAATATTACCGTCAAAGTTTCTCAATTTTTGATATTGTATAGTACTCGATGTACTCGTTCAAAATTCTTATTGGTAAAATTACATCCTATGACTAGTTTTCCAAATATAACATAATATGTACCAAATATATGAATTTTAAACAAAAAAAATATACTGATATAAGTAGATATGTTTCAGAGATATACTGTATATTAGATAATTTGACACACTGTGTTAGATTAGAAATATAACCCTTGTACTATTTGAGGGCAGCCAAAATTATTTCCTAGTTACAGGGTGATTGCGGTTGAATATGTAAAGTGAAAAAATCAACAAAATGTTTAAATTGTTGGCAAAAAATATAAAATAACTGCCTTTTGACTTGGGAGTTATTTATCAAAAAAATCTTATTAGTTCACATACAGTCATACATTATTTCATTACAAAAAAAGTTCGTTATACGGTAGGTCTAAGTAGGATTTAGAGAAATGAATAATGATCGGATTACATGTTTAATTTGACTGGAGTATTGGCTCTTTGCCTCTTTATGTATATTTATATCAGATTGGGGACTCATCTGACAATCCATGTCTTAAGTAGTTTAACAAGGAAAGCAAGTAAAGCTTTTCGAGCAATGGTTCTTAATTTACCATAATATTGTTCTATTGGTTCACAAAATATAACAAGTAGATACCAAATAAATGAATTTTAAACAATAAATATATACTGACATAAGTAGATATTTTCAAAAGAAATATCTTATATTAAATATTTTGACACACTGTGTTTAGATTAGGAATATAACCCTTGTATTATTTGGAAACAGACAAAAATTTCGTACTTACAGGGTGATTGCGGTTGAATATGTACGATAAAAAAGTCAACAAAATGTTGAAACTGTTGCCAAAGAATAGAAAATAATTACCTTGTGAGTTGTTCATAAAAAAAAATATTATAAGTCCTTATACAGGGTCATACTTTATTTAAGTACAAAGTAGTTTATTATACGTTAGGTCTAAGTAGGATGTAGAAAAATTATGATCGAGTATTGTTGTAAGTGCCTATTTGTATTGTATATTTAACCCAGTTATGCCTGAATTTTTTTTTGTGTTAGATTTTTTTTTATTAAAAATAGGATAATTGGGACTTATCGAACATATATTTAAAGGTTTATTGAAAAAAAAAGTAAGAAGTCAGAAAAAACTGGTGTCCAGTAGGCAAATAACATATTAAAAATTAAAAATTTATTAAATTTAAAAGCACAATCTTTCGAATTTGTTTACATTAAAAATAGGTAAATTTTATAGTCTTTAGGTAGTATGGTAGGGTTTGAAGCAGATAACATGCAGAGCTACATCACATTTTTCACACCTGGTTGACACTTTCTTGTGGCAAAGGCGACAACGAGTTTGCTTTTCTTGTGTAATAATCAGATGGTCCATGCGATCGTACCTCGAATCAATATTTTCCAGGGACGATGGTCGGGATCTCTTGGCAAATTTTCTTTGATGCCGTTCCAAGATGGCAGCTGCCACTCTCCTACGAAATGACAAGTTATCCAATTTGCCTCGTTGTGTCTTGTGGAGTTGCCAAGCATTATGGCAAGCCAAATCTAACATATGAAATAATAGTGGAATATACCACTTTTTTCCTTTAAAAGCCACTCGATATAAGCTGATATTTTGGTCTGCCCTATCAACTCCACCCATGTGTTTAATATAAACAAACAGGTTTTCTTGCTGATCCATCTTGATCCTCTTTTTCTCTTTCACTGAGTATCTGCTTACAGGATGAACTGGATTTATAGGAACACCGTTCGATGGTAAACTGACAATGCCATTATCATTCCATTTCAGTACAACTTTACCATTCTCATTTGACTTAAAATCCATGAATCCCCGCTCTTTCTTTTTCATTTCAAGATGGCTTATCAATTTGCAGTTGGATGTCCGGTTGTCTCTAATGGTACCAGTAATGCGAATATCTCTGCGTTTTAATTCATCTGTCAGGGGGATTGTTGTAAAAAAGTTGTCACAAAAGATATGGTATGGGTACTTTTGTATAGTGAGAAGCGTGTCAGCATATTGCAAAACAATTGAAGGTCCCAAGCCAAATTGTTGGTACTGTTCTCTAATCTCACTTCCAGCGCCTTGATAAGCTTCAATCCAAACTACGTAACCCTTATTTGTGGTACCTGTCCATATTTTATAACCGTACCTGATGGGCTTACCTCTTATAAATTGCTTGCACCCATGCTTGCCATAATATGGTACCATGAACTCATCGACGCTGTGATTCTCAGATATAGGAGCATACATTTGAAATACCTTATTTATTTCGTTTATCAGTGGCCGTATCTTTGCATATCTATCAGATTTATCTAATAAATTATTATTACAACAATGTAAGTTGCTGAATATATATTCAAATATATCTCTGGATAACGCATTTACAGCCAAATCGTTACGCGTGTCCTTATTATTTTCCCAGAACATTCTGCGCCTTGGAACCGGCACGTATCCGCTGAGCAATAAAATTCAAAAAAAAAAACTATCTATTTTGTCTTTTGTTATATTAGCTGGTTTATTATGTTGAGCAGCGTAATTATTTGAATGTTCCACAAATAGATCAATGGCGTGATCCCAACAACAATGAAATAGTTCGATTGGAGTATTTTCATTTGAACAACCTTGTATAGGGGGAACTTCCACTTCTGGGTTTTGAATGTCTCATTTCTGCCAGTTATAGGTTCTTTTATTGGCGCCTTTCTCCTTGTTTTTTGATTTCTAACAACTTGACGTTCTGAAAGCGGTCGATCATCATCGGAGTCACCTTCTTGAATACGAGATGTCGCCTCAGCCTTGGGAGATTGTGCTATTGAATGTTTTCTAAACAGCTCTGCTGGAGCTCGCAATTGACATCCAGGTAAATTGTTGATGTTCAATTGCTCCTCATCCCCAGAATCCTCATCAGTAAGGGGGTCGCAAGCATTTACTGGAGACATACTGGCTATTTCTATCTCTTCTTGATCGTCATTATGGGTATTCTTCGAGAGACCCGATAATTTCATCTAAGGTGAGTCCCCTGTAAAAAAAATCTTTATTTGCCTACTGTCCTTCTAGAAGAACACTTACTAATTTGAATGTATACAAAAAATTATCCAACAGAAAAATACCAAAACATGAATAAGACCTTCTCTTATAAACAGCACATAACTTATATCATGAAAAAAGTTTCTATTAATAGGTTTTTTAATTATTTACTCACCCTACTGGTCGCAAATCAATTGGTGCACTCATTTTTTCACAGAAATAACTTTAATAACTGCTTCTGATCAGATGTAAATAGACAGACTTAAGAAATCGTTGAAATGGACCCTTTAGTAAAATTGTTATCAGTGCCATCTCTTAAATAAAGAATGAACTTTTCGAAATGTGGGCAAGAATACTGTAATTTTCGGTGTCCTTTTAGAAGGACAGTAGGCAGATTTGGGTTAAATAAGATTATAAGCTCCATTCCACGGCACCAATGAGGTAAAGCCTCCAATACAATTTGTTTTAAGTCGCATCTCCTAAAAGATGGTTACAGTTGAACTTACAAGGTGAAAAAATCAACAATATATAAAATTATTGCCAAATATTAGAAAATAAATTGCTTGTGAGTTCATTATTGAAAAAAAATTGTAAATATACATGCATTAATATTTTAAATAGGCAATAACAAACTTT